ACAGGTGTGAGCCACCCCCCCAGCTGGTTTCGCATTTTCAAACGGGGGGGGAATCAAAGGATGACAATCTTCCACGGCCTGTGACGATGATATGAAGTTCACGTTTCTGTGTCTCCCAAGAAAGTGCGATTGCCCAGGGCCACACCTGTGTGTGGGTACGTTGCCTGTGGCTGCTTTCCCGTTGCAATGGCAGGGGTCAGTCATGTTGCAAAGCAGAAAGCATCTACTATTTGGCCTTTGCCAGAGAACGTTTACTCAACCTGGACTTGAAAGAGCTGAGGCAGCTGGGTGCAGTGGTTCATGCCTGTAATCCCAGCGTTTTGGGAGGCTGAGGTGGGAGGCCAGGAGGTTGAGACCAGCCTGGGCAACACATTTCTAGATTCAAAAATAAAAAAGAATCGAGGGCAGTGCCTGGCACACAGTAGGTATTTATTAAATGTGTGCTGACCTTGCTGTTGTTGCTATTATTATTATTTTAAAAATTCAATTCCATTTATTTAGAGACAGGGTCTGGCTCTGTGGCCCAGGCTGGAGTGCGGTGGCGTGAGCGTAGCTCATTGCAGCCTTGACCTCCTGGGCTTGGATAATCCTCCTGCCTCGGCCTCCCAAGTTCCTGGGATGGCAGACACATCCACCATGCCCGGCTAATTAAAATAAATTTTTGCAGAGATGAGATCTTGCTATGACTCCAGCGAATCTCCCCCCCCCCCAGCCTCTCAGAGTGTTGGGACTACAGGTGCGAGCCCTGCACCCAGCTGATTTTATTTTTTTAATTTACAAATAATGATTATACTTATTCGCGGGGTGCATGGTGATATCTGGGCGTGCACAACGCACATGGTGGCCTCAGGGCGGTCAGCACACCTGTCGCCTCCACACGCATCACCTCTGTGTGTTGGGAACACCCGCCTCCCGGTTCCGGTGGTCTGAGACTGTGTGATACGTCCTGGCTCGCCACAGCCATCCCGCAGGGGCGCCAGCCGGCCTCCGCCGTCGGGCCCTCCTCCACGTGGCGCCCTTGAGCGTGTCTCCCTCCCGACGGGTGTCTTTTTGTGGTGGTGACCGGTGTCTTTTTGTGGCCCATAAGCAAGACAGGCCTCCTGACACAGACAGTGAGAACCGGATGGACTCTTCTCCACCGGCTGAGGCCTCTGTGTGTCCCCACCCCAGGCTTCGCCCCCAACTCCCCAGGCAGCCCATGCTGGAGAATGGGCTATAGTCCTCCTAGTGCAGAGGGGGACGTGTGCTCTCGACCTGTGGGGTCCAGCCTGCCGGGCCGTGGGGGTGTGGGGAGGTGGAGGCAGGGTGGCCCATGTCCCCACTGGGCTGACTCCTCTCCTGACACGCAGCACTTTTCACATCCGCATCTGAGGGCAAGCGGAGGAGCCCGGACACAGGGAGTGGGCGGCCCGCACCCAGCTGTGAACGCCGGCCTCTGGGAATAAACGCCAGTCACGAAGTCACATCTGCTGGGAGGACGCACCTTCCACCTGGAACCCGGTGGACCGGAGGAAGGAGCCCTAGGATCTTACCTGGGCTGTGTGATCCTGGGCGGGCGCACCCTCTCTGGGCCCTGTTTGTATAAAGAAGAGGTTGCTGCCTCGACCCTCTCCACTGTAAAGACGCCTTTCTGTGGGTCTCTGGGGGGCACAGAGGAGGTGGGAGATGAGGCCTGCGCCATCCCAGGGTCCCCCAGAGCCAAACCCCACCCTGGCTGCTCAAGTGGCTTCTTTTCCCTGAGTCCTCAAAGCGGCCGCACCGCTCACGCCATGCTGATCCATTAGTGCTGTCAAGAGGAGGCCTCGGACGAGGCGTGGCAAGGATGCCGTTCGCCAAGGCGGGTATCTAACTCTACAGTCTGTGAAGCACCCGCTCCCTGCCGCCACACTGGCCACCTAGGACATCCCTGCAGGGTTGGCGGGGAGCGACCCTGCCCTCCTTTGGAGGGAGCAGAGTGACTTGCCGAGGCCACCCCACAAGTCTGTAGGGGCAGCTTGAACCCAGGGGCACCTCATTCCAGATCGCGGCCCTCCCCCTGGGGTTGGCCCAGGGCCCCATTCATGCCCCAGTCATTCCTGCGACCAAGACCAGCCCACGGCCTTTCCAGTCACCTCTACCATACAGTGTGTCACTGCCAGAGAGCTCCCTTCCACCCTGGACCCCTCAAATTCAGCACCTACTGTGTGCCACATTCCCTGGTTTCACATGCTCCTGCTGGTCCATCCTGAGGGGGAGCTACTCTTTCCCCACTTCCCAGGTGAGGAAACAGGCCCAGAGAGGTCTAGGCCTGGCAAGGGTCACACAGCACTGCAGCCTGGGACTCTCCCCCGAGAGCCACTGCACCTGACGCAAGGTAGGTTCCTCCCTGTTTAGAGAGGGGCTCCTGCGCTCCTTCTAAAGCTGACACTGATGGCATCAAGGCGCCTACTGGGCGCTGAGCCTGGGCCCAGGAGACCCAGGAGGAAGGCGCGAGTGGCCCCACTTGCCGACGAAGACGTACCATTGAGCTTGGTTTTTTTATTTATTTTATTATTATTATTATTATTATTCTGAGTTGGAGTCTCACTCTGTCGCCCAGACTGGAGTGCAGTGGCCACTCCCGGCCACCTCAGCCTCGACCTGCTGGGCTCCGGCGATCCTTCCGCCTCAGCCTTCCGAGTAGCCGGAACTACAGGCGTGCGCTACCACACCCGGCTGATTTTTGATTTATTGTAGAGATGAGGTCTCGCCAAGTTGCCCGGGTGGGTCTCGAACCCGCGGGCTCAGGCAATCCACTCACCTCAGCCTCCCAAAGGCGCAGGATGACAGGCTGAGCCACCGAGCCCGGCTGGTTTTTTTATTTTATTAATGTTGAGAGTCAGGGTCTCGCTGTCACCCAGGCTGGAGTGCGGTGGCACGATCATGGCTCACCACAGCCTCGACCTCCTAGGCTCAGGCAATCCTCCTGCCCTGGCCTCCCAAGGTACTGGGGCTGCAGGCTTGAGCCATCACCCGGCTTTTGCTCGACTCCGGTGCCTGGCTCTTGAGTTCTTTCCACAGGAAGCCCAGAAGCCATTTGGCCTTGGGGTCCACCCCCAACATTGGGTATCCCTCTTTCCTGTGTCCAAATGAACCGCTATCCCACTGGCGATCGCAAGCACAGAACCATCTTTATTAGCTGCCTGGGGACCCCGGACCTGTGAGGCCAGGTGGAGAGGGGACACCCAGGGACGAAGTGGCCTGATGGCGAGGGTCCCGGCCCAGCGACCC